AAGCCATTACCAGCAAACTCGGCTGCGCTGGTCACTGCCGTCTTCCTCGACGGGGACCCCGAGACGGGCAACATCAATGGCTAGAAACATTGTCAGTTATGGCCCAGTCCTGCCCTCAATGGCGCTCGTGCATCAAAGCTATTGCCTTCAATGTATAGCTCCTTTTCCAACCAACCCCCCACTTGACAGCCCACTGACAGTGCTGGATTTATGCACCAATTTACCAGCTCGCGCCTGCAATGCGCAGCTACCTACCCCCCAATCATCGGTGAACGAAACTGTGGCAGCTACAACCAGTGTACGACGAGTACGCGGTTCTTACAGCTGACAATGATGATGATGATGATCTCTAGGCCGCACTTTCGCACCGTCATTTTCTTTTATTCCAGTTTGTTCTGCTTTTACTTTATTCAGTCTCATCTAGAGCTGTACTTGCCAGTTGAAGTGATAAAACCGATTACTGTTCGCAAATGCGTCTGTTTTCTGATCTAAGTTTAGCGGTCAATGCATTTTTACTAAAAATTCAAAGTTCTATGGAGGAAGCTACCGACTGAAAAGTCGGCAGATTCCCGACTCTTGCTTAGGCTTTATGAACCCGGAAGCAAGTTAGTTCTTGTGATTGGTCCGATGGGGCGAGATGGCTGGGCAGTTAGAGCGCGAATTCACTGATTGGAAAATCGATGGACCGAACCCGACCTCGGACTCCTGACGTCCTCCGTCTAGGCTTGGGCAACCTAGCAGTATCACAGCCCTCGAGCTTCTTTCGAGTTGCATGGCAGCTAGGCATCGACAAGGGTGTTACATCTAAAAGATTATCTTCGTATCGTTTGATTCTCAGGACAGCTATACACCAAAAGCGCTCTACAGATGAGCGATTATCATACTGTGTTTCGACAGTGTCAGAACTAACTATAAGGTGCCACACACAAGTCAGCCAGATAGGTTCGTTCAGCTGTAGCACCCTTTCGGCGCCTAACTGCCATGGTACCAGAATGCCCAAGCATATACAGGAAAAGTCGAGAGGCATAGGTC